TGGGGCGTTTTGGTTTGAGTGTTTGTAGTTAAGGTTTAGGGTTAAGGGCTCAGAAGGCTTCGGTTTGGAGCAACCTCTTGCCCTGCTACGGTTTACGCAACCCCCCGGAAGCCTACGCCCCTCTCATAGCCTTCGGGTTCAGGGTTTAGCCCCCTGAATCGCAAGCCGTTGCCCCTAACTTGAACTAGCAAACCCCAGTGATGTGAATGGGTTCTGGGTTCCTCTATAAAACGGAGGGACGGGGTACCTTGTGGGGTCCTTTTCTCAGGGAATCCTACTACTTGGGGTCTATTATAGGGGTCCCCTAGGTTCGTAAACCCCCATGTTGCGATGAGCTGATTCGAGGCCGCCTGGTGCTGCAAATGAATGCCAAGCCCGGCACTCAGCAGTCTCCCTCCCCTCACTCTCTATCAAGGTCGATAGGCTTTTGTGGGGATTAGGGTCTAAGGTTCAGGGTCTAGGGGTTGGCGGCTGAATGTTGGGCCTTAAACCCCAAACCCACTCCCTAAGCCCCAACCCCTAAACCCTAAACCCTAAACCCTAAACCCTAAACCCTAAACCCTAAACCCTCTACCCTCTAAACCCTAAACAGCAGCTCTGGTCTAAGGTCAGAACCCTGGGCCCTTATTATGGTCCCTCACCCTTGTTCAGAGGGATCCAGAGTATGGGCTATTATGATATATGGTGTATATAAGGGTATCCCCTATTTGGGAGTCTGTTAGTGCGCTGCGGAGGTTCGTGTACTGGTTCTCACAAAAAAGTTCGGGAGTCAGGTACCTGAGGCCCCTCCATGTTACCCTTTTAGGGCTCTTGTAGGGTTTAGGGTTTAGGGTTTCGGGTTTAGGGTTTAGGGTTTAGGGTTTAGGGCTAGGAGTACCCGATTTCTTCACTCCCTACTATAAACCGGTGAGCTTTTTCGGTCTCGGTCGGGACTTTGGCGTGCAGAGTAGGGTCTTTAGTCTTGGCTTCAGGGTTCAGGGTTCAGGGTTCAGGGTTTAGGGTTTAGGGTTTAGGGTTTAGGGTTTAGGGTTTAGGGTTTAGGGTTTAGGGTTTAGGGTTTAGGGTTTAGGGTTTAGGGTTTCAGCATGTCACCAGCAGGGGCAGCATCCTCCGGGAAAATCGACCTCTACATCACCCCCGCAGCCTGCAACCCTGAGCCCACGCCCTAGCCCCTAAACCCGAAACCCGAAACCCGAAACCCTAAACCCTAAACCCTAAACTCTAAACTCTAAACTCTAAACTCTAAACTCTAAACTCTAAACCCAAACCCCAACCCCTAACCCTGAAACCAAACCCACGATGCTGCAGAGCAAGAAGCAGATTTTAGGGGGTTTCGGGTTTGGCATTTCGGGTTTAGGGTTTCGCCCCCAGCCCTTAAACCCCAACCCCCCCCCCCCCCCTAAGCCTCATGTCAGAATAGCATTCACAACCTTTGAGTTCACTTGCCGGGTCCCTTGCCCCTAAACCCTAAACCCCAAATTTAAGAGCCTCCGGCTCAAGCCGCCGACCCCGCTGGAGCATAGTTGAAAGGTCCAAACCCGCTCGTCGGCTCAAAGGATGCTTTCCTCATCGCATGGTGCTCGGCAGAGTGCCAAAAGTTGTGAGACGCTTGAGCCTATGTGAGGGGGGGGGGGGGTAGGGGGTAGCACCAGGACCCAAACAGTTCGGCCCGAGGGGGGGGGGCAGGGGGGTCGGGGGGGCAGGGGGTGGGTGGGCGGGGGTGGGGGGGGGGGGGGGGGGGGGGGGGGGGGGGGGGGGGGGGGGAGGGGGGGGGGGGGGGAGGGGGGGGGGGGTGGGGGGGCGGGGGCAGTTTTTCCAAAACATAGTCCGTGTGTTTACGCGGTGCGGGTGCCTCCACGGAAAAGCTGCCAGGGGGGGGTTGTACCCCCCCCACCCCGCGTTTTGGGGGGGTAAGGAGGGAAAAAGGTTTTCGCCTCCTTTTCCCATCCAACACGCCGCCAGGGTCGGCGGACCCTAAACCCTAAAACCTAAACCCTAAACCCTAAACCCTAAACCCTAAACCCTAAACCCTAAACCCTAAACCCTAAACCCTAAACCTTAGCCGCGGAGGTTCTCCGGGCCTTTGTGGTCAATCACGCCCACGAACGAGGAGCGACAGCCCTGCAGTGTGGGGGGGTCATTGAGTTGAGGGTTTAGGGTTTAGGGTTAGGGTTTAGGGTTTCGGGTTTCGGGTTTAGGGTTTAGGGTTTAGGGTTTCGGGTTTAGGGTTTAGGGTTTAGGGTTTAGGGTTTAGGGTTTAGGGTTTAGGGTTTAGGGTTTAGAGTTTTTCGGGTTTGGGGTTGCATTGTTTCAAGGTTTGGGGTTTGGGGTCTTAGGGTTGAGGGCTTATGGCTTAGGAAGTGCAATATTTCAGGGAGAATGCTTGGGTTTCGTGTTTGGGGTTCAGGGTTGAGGATCGAAATAAAATAGACTGGCAAGTGTCGCGATTTTGGCCTCCCTAAACCCGAAACCCTAAACCCTAAACCCTAAACCCTCAACCCGAACTTCCCAGCAGGCACACGACAAAGTCTTCGAAGAATTCCGGAAGGCCTTCTGCCAAACGCAGGGCTGCAGAGGGCGTTGTTTCGGGCTTAGGGCCCTAAACCCTAAACCCTAAACCCTAAACCCTAAACCCTAAACCCTAAACCCTAAACCCTAAACCCTAAACCCTAAACCCTAAACCCTAAACCCTAAACCCTAAACCCTAAACCCTAAACCCTAAACCCGAACTTCCCAGCCTTAGGGCCCCTAAACCCCATGCAAACCCCAAGCCTGGGGAAAACCCAAATTCCAAGAAGAGCGTTCCCATTGCGGGGCTGCTCCTTACGTCTCAAAATGTCGCCACAAGACTTAAAGACCCGAAGCCCTAAACCCTCAACCCTGAAACCTAAACCCTAAATCCCTAAAACCCTCAACCGCACGAATCTGCTGAAACCCTGAAACCTGAAACCTAAAACCCTAAACCCTCAACCGCACGAATCTGGGTTTAGGGCTCGTCTGCCGGTGAGCTACAGGGTTCAGGGCTCTGGTGTCCAGTGTCTTTATTCTGGGTCTAGGTTTGGATTTAGGGTTTGGGGATTAGGGTTCGGGTTTGGGGTTTAGGGTTCAGGGGCTTAGGGTTCTTTTTATGTTAATCGCAAGATCTAGGGGCACCATGTTCATTGTCAGGTTCCTGTGGGGAGGCCTTTGAGAGGACGATCTGCGTACTTACAGCCCCCCAAAAGTAAGAAGCAGTAGTAGCGTTTAGGCTTGAGGAGGGATTTAGGTGGTTTAGGGTTTAGGGGGTTTGGGGGATTTAGGGGGATTTAGAGGGTTTAGGGGGATTTAGAGGGTTTAGGGGGATTTAGGTGGTTTAGGGGGTTTGGGGGATTTCGGGGGATTTAGAGGGTTTAGGGGGATTTAGAGGGTTTGGGGGATTTAGGTGACAAGGTTTAGCATGTTGAGTTGTTTGTGGAGACCGTTTTCCTCAGCACATTCCACATCTGATAGATTGTGCCGTGCAAAGGCTCGCACCAGTTCCCTATAAACCCTACAAACGCTATAAGCCCTATAACCCTATGGACCCTATGAACCCTATTTCCTCTATAAGCTCTAGAAACCCTATAAACTCTGTAAACCAAAAAGTCAGCACCCTTTCAAAACCTGAACCCGAAGCGCGGAAGGTACCGTTCATGATTATGGGGGTTGACGTCTACCAGGCGCGGGGCCCACTGTGAGAGAGCGAGCCATCGTAAACCACTAGCACCCTGGATCCATAAGATCCAAGCCTAAAACAGAAAAGGTTTAGGGTTTCGGGTTTTGGGTTTAGGGTTTAGGGTTTAGGGCTCAGGGTTTAGGGCTTAGGGTTGAAACCTATCAGCCCTTCATAAGCCTTTGAAGCCCCGAACCCTGTCGGGTTTGGGTTTGGGGTGCAGCAGCGGTGGCGATGCTACGCCTCTCTGCAGCTCCTGTAGCACCAAGCATATTGTGGTTTAGGGTTTAGTAAGATTATAAACCCTAAACCCTAAACCCTAAACCCTAAACCCTAAACCCTAAACCCGTTTTGTTGGGGGAGGGGGCTTCAGGAGGTGCGAGACTTTGCGGCTCGAAGTGCGTGAGCCTCAAACGCTCAGGCCCTGAGCCGCTTCGTAGGGCTTCGGGCTGTGGATCGGTTGCTTAGGGTCCCCCTTTCCGCTCTTTCAAAACCCTAAACCCCAAACCCTAAACCCTAAACCTTAAGCCCCACATGCTCATCGTGAGGCCTACGATGGACTGAAAGTCCTCGGACTGACGGCATCTCTGGACAAGAGCTGTCGCGTGCCAAGGGGATGGGGTGGATATTTAGGTTTAGGGTTTAGGGTTTCGGGTTTAGGGTTTAGGGTTTAGGTGGGTATTTAGGTGTTAGGCTTCAGGGTATATAGGGTTAGTCCCGATAAACACTAGGGCTCAATAGTTTGAGTGGCCAGATGCAGTATGAGGTGCGGTGATACGGGCCGAGCATGGTTTGGCACTTAGGGTAGCCATGAACCTAAATCCAGAAGCCCTAGCCGTCCCCCAACACCGAAATCCTGATCTATGAATCCTCATGCCTTCAGCCCTGACTGGCTTGATTCTGGAGTATGCCGACCCAACAGCGGATAAAAATCACCTGTTCAGCACCGACAAACCCTTGACCAATCCTCTACGGCTTGGCTTGCAGCCAAGCTATTAGGTCCAATGACGAACCACTATCTAGCTATGAGTTGTAATGACTAGTAGTTGTGTAAACCCTAAACCCTAAACTTAACCCTAAACGGAACCCTAAACCTTCAACCCTAAACCCTAAACCCTAAACCCTAAACCCTAAACCCTAAACCCTAAACCCTGAACCCTGAACCCTGAACCCTGAACCCTGAACCCTGAACCCTGAACCCTGAACCCTGAACCCTAAACCCTAAACCCTAAACCCAGACCCAGGAGGCTTTACGGTTTAGGCTGCATATTCGCGAAATGCCTTTCGTTCTGAGCCCCCAGCCTGAGCCATGAATCGAAACCAACCGGCGAGCGACGATATCTGCCTGTGGGCTACGGGAGAACTGCAGCAGCCCGACAGCCGCAGCCTGACTACCTTAAGGGTTTAGGGTTTAGGGTTCGGGTTTGGGGATTTAGCGAGTGTCTGGGCCTTCCACACCCCCCCCCCCCCCAACCCCGAGTTTTGGCAACAGGGTGGAAGGCCCCGGATCCAGGATTTCTAGGACGCAGAGTAGGCCCTTATCCCCTTCTTTTAGGGCTTAGGGTCCGTTTTTGAGCCCCTTTACACCAAAAAGGGCACCCTTTTTGTTCCCAGGTTACCCTTGGGTCTCGAATGTGTTCAGCGACATCTGAGTTGTCAGCAGTAGAATTCTTTCAATCGGAGAACCAGGCCCGCAGCCACCCTAAGCCCTAGACCCTATACTTGGAGGTTCATGGTACTTACTAGCCAAATATAACTGTACTTCTAACCATCTTAGGGCACCTAAGGGGCTTATAAGTGGGTTATACAGTACAGGTTTTAATTTGTTAATAAGTACCCTTAAACCCTAAACCCTATTAGACCGGTGGGAGAAGCCGAGGATATGGGAAAACACCCTTCAGGATCTATAACTCCGTTGCCAACCTCACGAAGGCGCAACGAGAGCAGGCAGGTGGTGGTTGGGATTCAGGGCTTCTAGGGGCCCCTCTCAGGGTTGTAGGTGGAGGGTCTAGGGTTTAGGGTTTAGGGTTTAGGGTTTAGGGTTTAGGCTTTGGGGTTTGGGGGTCAGGGTTCCCAACGCTAAGCCCACTGATCCTTCAAGCGAAACCTTCACCCCCGACCTGCAACCCCCTGGAGCAGGCTCTCGTTCCCTTCTTTTGGGCTTAGGTTCCCTTGGAAGTCCCTTGAAACCAAAAATGGCACCCTTGCTATTCCTAGGTTACTTTTGGGTCACCCTAAACCCCAAACCCTAAACCCGAAACCCTAAACCCTTGTTACTCAAGAAAATGTTACTCTTGGGTCACGAAAAAAACTAACCACCCTAAACCCTTGTTACTCCTAGGTTGCTCTTGGGTCACAAAAAAACCCTAAACCCTTGTTACTCCTAGGCTACTCTTGGGTCTATGAACCCTCATCCCTCTACACTTACAAATGTACATATAACCATATTAGGGCACTTAGGGGGCTTATAATTGGTTCTATGTACAGTTATAATTGGCTAAGAAGTACCCTGAACCGTAAACCCTAAACCCTAAACCCTAAACCCTAAACCCTAAACCCTAAACCCTAAACCCTTAGGTACCATGAACCTCCAAGTACGAGCTTGAACTCCGCAAGGCGCCCTACTTCGTCGTGTGGCTGCATGGTATGGATGGAGGCTGGATCGAACCAAGCTGCCTGGCTGTAGGGTTTAGGGTTTAGGGTTTAGGGTTTAGGGTTTCGGGTTTAGGGTTTAGGGTTTAGGGTTTAGGGTTTAGGGTACGGGGGGCAACCAAAGGGGGAAAGGAAACCAGGAATTCATCCCCAGCAATTGCCCTAAAATTATATTCCCCAGACCGACCAGAACCAAAGAACACAGACAGAAGGGTTAAAGGCTGGAAGTCCGGGGCCCCTAGCCTAAGCTACTCGGGCAGCACCCCAACCCCACCAGCACCACTCTTTTCACGAAAAAAGCCAGTCCTATGGCCATCTTGAGCCAACAATGTTGCTGGACATTGCCCTTCACCACCTATCCACTTAAACCTCCGCATAGGGTTTAGGGTCTAGGGGGTAGGGTTTAGGGTTTGGGGTGTAGGGGTTCAATGCCACCAGCTTCGACCCTAGCCTTAAACCAAGCCCTATGCCCTAAACCCTAGAACCTAAACCCTGAACCCTGAACCCCTCCACTCGCGTCCATGAGGCTACCTGAAGACGATGCAGATGAGACTACATCGTCGGGTGGCCTCTGGGAAGCCCAACGAGAACCTTTTTTTGTCCCGGTTTTGGTTTCTGGGATCCTGATTCTTAAGCCTATGAAAAGCCCTAAATCCTCAAAAGCCCTTCAAGCCCGAATCCCTGAAAGCTACGTAGCCTAAGCCCAAAAGCTAGTCTATAACCTCCAAGTTCTCAAACTTAAGTACCACGACATGATTGCAGGGGGTCCACCAAGGTCTTCATGGTGCCAAAGAATCCGGAGTCCACGCCGGAGGGCTTGAACTTCAACTGGGGCTGCTGCTGCCTGGGGGCACTCTAAAGGCTTTGGGGTTTGGGCTTTGGCGTGTGGGGTGTGGGGTTTCGGGTTTAGGGTTTGGGATGGTAGGCTTTAGGGTGTTTGGGCTTTTAGGGTGTGTGTGTGTCTGTGTGTTGACTTTCGGAAGTGACGCCCCAAAGCCCAAACCCTGAACCCTTTCTGCGAACCCTAAGCCCTAAGCCCTACACCCTGCGCCCCCGCAAAAAAGAGACCCTTCTTAAGCCCCTTAAGTTCCTTTGTTGGTGTTGACGGCTTATGGGGCTTATGGGCCACTTTTGGGGCTTATAGGGCTTGTAGCGCTTAGATGGTTTAGAGGGCTTAGAGGTTTGGGCCTGGGATCCCTTGATGTTCAAGACACACCGAGGTTTCTACAAAAAAGAGAACAAAAACAATCTCGGCTATGTTCTGGGCGTCCTGCACAAGGGCTTCCTGACGGATCTCTCAGAGAAGATCAGTAACTTAGCAACGTTGTTTGAGGCCGAGCGGACCATGGTGATGGGCTACAGCATGGGTGGCTTCGGCGCCTTTCAGCTTGGAGGCTTCGCTCCTGACGTCTTTGACGTCGTCGTTTCGGCTGCAGGCTACGGACTTGGGACATTGACACCGCAGGGTGAGATGTATGACGCGCCGCAGCCGCAAGCAACGAACAACTTCGAAGATTTCCTGGGCCAAGTTGCCTCGAACATGGTGCGGGTGCCCATCGTCCTGGCGCTGCATGCCGAGCATGACGGCATGTCCAGCTACCGAGATGTTAAGGCCATCATCGCAAGACTCCAGGTCGGCCCTTGGGACGTTTTTTCGTTGTTTTCCCTCAGCTGGGCGCTAAGAGCATCATGTTTACGAATCATTTTCGCAGATTTTTTCAGGCCCATCCTAGGACTATATATTCCCTTCTTGGGCTTAAGAGGATCATGGTTTGCGATTTTTTCAGCGGACCCTAAACCCTAAACCCTAAACCCTAAACCATTAAGGGCCCTCCTAGGACTGCATGAGATTATGGAAGCAGAGGGCAGCAACAACACCGTGGCACTACTGCAGGCGGGCTGGAGTCGAGGGTTTGGTTTAGGTTTAGGGTTTAGGGTTTAGGGTTTAGGGTTTAGGGTTTAGGGTTTAGGGTTTAGGGTTTAGGGTTTAGGGTTTAGGGTTGCGGTTTGCGGCAGAGAGGGCTAGTAGGGCAGAAAGACTCGGAGTGAAGCAATAGCCCTACACCTTCGACCTACCCGAAGCGGAGTCCTAAACTCCTATACCGGAAGCCCGTGAACACTGAACTCCGAAACCTCTGAAACGTCTTCGACTCTAAACACGTAAACCCGAAGCTCCTAAACCCTAAACTCCTGAGCCCTAAAACTCCCAGACCCTAAGCTCCTGAACCCTTAACGTTTCGCCCCTACACTCCAAACTCGCAACCTCCTAAACTCCCAAACCCTAAACTCCCAAACCCTGAACCCCAAACCCCAAACCCCAAACCCTAAACCCTAAACCCCAAACCCCCCAAACCCCTCCCGAGCCCTGCAAACCACAAGGTGCCAGATGACAAGGCCAACTCCGACAAGTCCCGGAAGAAGCTCGGGAATCTCAAGTTTCGGGTGCAAGCTTTAGGCAGGACTCTAGCGTACTCTTTTTTTCATTGCCCTAAACCCTAAACCCTAAACCCTAAACCTTAAACCGCAGGAGTCATTTCCCGAATCTGTAAACCCTAAACCCCATTAAAACCTTCGGGGGTTCGGGGGCCCTGGAAGCCCTAAACCCTAAACCCTAAACCCTAAACCCTAAACCCTAAACCCTAAACCCTAAACCCCAAGGCATGAGGGCCTTAAAGAGCTATCCCAGGAAGGCGAGCACCAGGAGGCACCACCACTACTTCAACTATACTCTTCTGGACGCCCACAGCAGCCAGGCGGTGATTAGGTTCAGTGATGTTATAGGGTTTTTGGGGGCTTGTAGGGTTTAGGGTTTAGGGTTTAGGGTTTAGGGTTTAGGGTTTAGGGTTTAGGGTTTAGGGTTTAGGGTTCAGGGTTCAGGGTTTAGGGTTTAGGGTTTAGGGTTTACTAATTTAGGGTTTAGTAGTTTAGGGTTTAGGGCTTAGGGCTTAGGGTTTAGGGTTTAAGGTTTAGGTTTAGGGTTCCCTTGGCGGCTTTTGTGTCGACGGTTCAGGGCTCAAGGTTTACCCAGAAATCCAAATATCCTCAATCGAGGGGGGATATAAGGTACCTCATTCCCTCATTCCCTACTAAGATTCAGGCGGCCTCAATTCTACCCTAAACCCTCAACCCTAAACCCTAAACCCTAAACCCTAAACCCTATATCAACCCTAAACCCTAAACCTAAGCCCTAAACCCTAAACCCTGAAAGCTAGCGGAGCTCGGCTTGAGTTTTTCTCGCTTTAGCAAGGGAGAGCCGATCAACCACATTGGAGTTGCATCCCTCAGCCCATAAAGCCGTGGGAGTCATTATGAAGAGGGTTTAGGGTTTAGGGTTTAGGGTTCAGGGTTTAGGGTTTAGGGTTTAGGGTTTAGGGTTTAGGCTTTAGCCCCACCCCCCTACAAGCTTAAACTACTCAACCCGCGTTTGACTTCGAAGGCCTGAAACCCCATAAGCCCTATAAGCCCCGTAATGCCGAGCCCAATAAACGAAGTTCAAAGCATGTTGCAAAACCCTCAAGCCAGCAAAAGGCGAAGGCGTCTCTTCATAAACGCCTTGCACTGAAGCGAAAACTGTTTATGAAGTTAGCAAAACTTCAAAGAAAGCAACAAGGTGGCGTCTTCCGGTCTTACTAAGCCACTAGTACCAACAACCCGAGAATTTAGCGTTTAGGGTTTAGGGTTTAGGGTTTAGGGTTTAGGGTTTAGGGCTAGGGCTAAACAGACCTTTAACAGCCTAAAAGGTGAAGGCTACCTCCCCCCCTCCAACCTCAAACCCCAAAAATGTCCTAACAGCCGTGCAGTCCCTACACGACCCTGAGCAGGCCAGATTTAGGGTTTAGGGTTTGGGGGTTAGGGCTGAGGGTTGAGGGTTGAGGGTGAACCCTAAAACCCTAAGACAAATCTCTTGGCCAAAGCTCCCTCCACCCTCTAAAACCCCCAGCCCCAAAGCCTCAAGGGCCCAAAGCCCCAAAGCCCCAAAACCCGAAAACCCGAAAAAAAGCAACAAAACCCCCAAACCACAAAACCCAAAACCCCCAAAGTACCAAAACCCCAAAAACCCTAAGTCCCCCCCTAAGCCCGAAGCCCTAAACGCTAAGTTCCCCTAAAACCCTGAACCCTAAACCTAAACTAACTCAAGAAAAGGTGAGGACTTCTTCTGGTCGAAACTGCGGGACCTCCTGAAGACAGCTCCCTACCGATTGGAGATCAAGTGTCCGCAGGAGGCGCCCCTAAATCCCCCTAACCCTGAACAGGCCTTTGCAGACCGCAGGCTTTAGGGCTTAGGGTTAAGGGTTTAGGTTTTAGGGTTTAGGGTTTCGGGTTTAGGGTTGAGCTGTCCTTCATAGAAATGAGGAGGACGCTTGGGCTTACGAGGGTTTAGCTTTGAAAGTTTCAGTGCCTGTGCGCTTGCAAGGCTTCAAGGGAGAGTAGGCTCCTGGTTTGGGGCTTAGGGCCTAGTTGAGGGTTAGGGTTAGGGTTTCTGGTTTAGGGTTTGGGGTTTAGGGTTTTAGGCTTTGGGGTCTAGGGCCTAGTTTCTAAGGGTAGTTGCTGTTTCCCGTGCCCTCAAATGGTCCCTTACCTTCTTTATAGGGTTCTGAAGTAAGTATGGGGCCTTGAGATGGGCCCTTGAGTTTTACAGGGTTCTGAGGGGTATAGAAGGGGTTCCTGTTTAAGGGCCCACACTAAGGGACCATGAAACTACCCTAAGATAGTGTAGGGTTTCGGGATCTCGGGTGCTAGGTTTAGGGTTTTAGGGTTTATGGTGTTAGGGTTTAAGGTGGCTGCCCCTCAATGTGGGGGGATTCCGAGTACAGTGGGTTTAGGGTTTCGTGTAGACCGTGTTTCGGGCACTCAGAGCAAGCGGAAGTCCCACCTCGACCCGAAAACTCACGTGAAGCCCTCAAGCATAACCCGATGGAACCCTAAACCCTAAACCCTAAGCCCCAATTTAGAAACTGCACAGATGGCCTTCGGAAAGGTTGAAAAAGTCGGGACGTTGAGTGCAAAATTGGGCGGAGGCCTTCGGCAGGGTTTGGGATTTAGGGTTTAGGGTTTAGGGTTTAGGGTTTAGGGTTTAGGGTTTAGGGTTGCCTTGGGACTGTGTGAATGGGCTTTTGAGGTGTAGGTTTCAAGGGTAAGGGCAAATTGAAGCCCTTCGTGAGTTCTAAGTAAGGTCTAAATACGGCAGGCGAGTCCTCCCCCTACCCGCTACCCTAAACTTAGGGTTTAGTGTTTACGGTTTAGGGTTTAGGGTTTAGGGTTTCGGGTTTAGGGTTTAGGGCCCCTTGCAAACTCTCAACCCTAAACTTTGCTGAAAGTCCTCATGAGGGTAGCACTTGGCATCTTGGAAAAGCACCTTTTTTAATGGACCCGAAAGCCTGAAGAATCGCCACTTAACAAGACCCTAAACCCCAAACTCTAAACCCTAAACGCCAGTTGCAAAGGTGGGCTTAGGGCACACTCGCTTCACAATCAGGCTTCGGCCGGACGTTGAACGTGTCATGCATGCCTGAATTACCACTACTCGGTAGGCCCGTGGGCATTTAATAGTTTCCCTTATTGGGTACTAAGACCATCACATCAAATTTCGGAAATAAGGGACCCCCCAATATTATAGACCCCCAAATAGCAGAATCCCCTTGTAATAAGGACAACAACAAGGTACCCCTAATATTGTAAACCCCCATTTTCCTCTATTGGGTATCAAGAGGAATTATATTCAGGATTTCTGTTCAGAGGGTTTTGAAGGCCATCCTAGCCTAGTTGCAGCGGATGCGCATGCTTTGTCGGAGTGCGCCCATCGCTTCGAATGGAACATATGACGTTACTAGTTACTAGGCGGACGGAACATTCATGTAAAGCCCTAAACCCTAACCCTGAACCCTAAACCCTAAACCCGCCAAAAAAACCCGGGACATCGCAGCCCCGAAAGCCCAACAGACAGGGCACGAAACACCCTGCGGGGTAAAGTTCCAGAAATCCTAGAGCCACTTAAATTCGACGGGTCCTAAAAGACCCTAATGGTTTGGTTTGCGGCTTAGGGTTTAGGGTTTAGGGTTTGGGGTTTGGGGTTTAGGGTTTAGGGTTTAGTTTAGGGTTTAGGGTTTAGGGTTTAGGGTTGAAATTTTTGGGTGTTACGAGGGAGTCTTAGTTCCCAGCAACACCACAGCAAGAGGCGGAACAAAAAAGGGTTTGGGGATTAGGGTCTAGGGTGCGAGAGAGAGAGAGAGAGAGAGAGAGAGATTGATTCAGCCCTAAACTAGACCCAGAAAGCGCTTTAGGATTTCGGGTTTAGGGTTTCGCGTGGAGGGTTGCCGCTGCATTCGAAAGGAATGCCGCCCTGCCCCAACTGCCCGAAGCCGGCGGCGGAGGAGGGAGAGGCAAGAAACGGGTCACCGCGTCCATGAACCCTAATTTAGGGTTTAGGGTTTAGGGTTTAGGGTTTAGGGTTTAGGGTTTAGGGTTTAGGGTTTAGGGTTTAGGGTTTAGGGTTTAGGGTTTAGGGTGGCCCCCTTAGGAATAGCAAACCCCAAAAAGGGCCATAACTTAGAGAAGTGGCCAAATCTTCATCTCTGAAAAACCTGACCATGAGAAACGTCAGGAGGAGCAAATGACGAAGTACCAAGAGGAGTTCGAGGAGGAGCTCGAGGAGGAAGACGAAGAAGTCGCCGCTCGACTTTACCGGCTGAAATCAAAGGATGCTCGAGGCTTCCGTCTTTGCTGTTTCCCGGCGTTTTGGATGACTGAGGTTGTGAGTGGGTATTTGGGGCTGGGCCATGTAGAGAGCTCGGCCATTTAAGGGTTTAGGGGTGTGGGTTCAGGGTTTAGGGTTTAGGATTTAGGGATGCTCAGCCCTACCGTTCACAGAGTTGGCTGCCTGGCAACGACTACGTCGAGTTTCTTTGCTGTCAAAGTTTGTTTGTTGGTATTTAGCAGTAGAAGAAGAGGGCGTAAGTCCGAGAAGGAGCAAAGAATTGAGCGATGGATTTCGAGCGTTGAGTCCACGACCCTTACCCTCTACAAATATACTCTCCTTAGGACTTGTGTATATTTTTGTTTCGATAAAACCCGGGGGAGCATAGCGTGATGTTTATGTCAAAGGAAAGTAGTAGAGAATCCCTGGGTCGTGAACCCTGAACTTTGAGGCAAAAGGTTGCTGAACCCTGACGGCTGGACCGCCAAACCCTCAACACTTACTCATGCCCAGCCTCATCTGCACCCTAAACCCTAAACCCTAAACCCTAAACCTTAAACGGACCCCTAAATTGGGGGCTCACGTACTTGCTGGCCAGAACCTGAAACGTAAAACCTTGAAACCCTCGACCCGAAGCACTCCCCTCAACATCCCTGGGCCCTAAACCCTAAACCCTAAACCCTAGACCCTAAACCCTAAACCCTAAACCTAAACCCTAAACCCTAAACCCTAAACCCTAAACCCTAACCCTAAACCCTAGACCCTAAACCATTTTCGAGGGCACATCCATCCTAGACCCTGAACTGTCAATCCTACACCGCCTTCCCCAGAAATACCACATACCTAGGACCCAGAGTTTAGGGTTTAGGGTTTAAGGTTTAGGGTTTCGGGTTTAGGGTTTAGGGTTTAGGGTTTAGGGTTTAGGGCCAGAGTAGGCCCCTGGGGTTTAGGTTCCCTTCGAAGCCCCCTGAAACCAATAGGTGTAGCCTGATTTTGCCTACGTTACTCTTGGGTCAAAGGATACCCCCTGAATCATCGTGGATCCGAAACGTAAAGTCGAGGATATTCTGTAAATCGCGGTAGTAATGTCGTAAAGATGATCTCGGAATAGTCGCTGAATGGTAGGACCCTTGACATCGTGTCGGACTGGAAGGACCCTTATTGCAGTTTCAGAGATGTTCCCTCCGCCCAGGGATATTGGAGCCCTCAAACCCGAAACTCTCGAGGCCTAAACCCCCAAACCCTAAACCATGAAACCTTAAACCCTCAAACCCCATACCCTAAATCCTCAAACCCTAAACCCTCAAACCCTAAAACCCTAGAGCCCTCAAACTCTAAACCCCAGGCCCCAAACCCCCAAACCCTAAACGCCCAAACCCTAGACCCCCAAACCCTAAACCCCCAAACCCTGAACCCTCAAACCCAAACCCTCAAACAACAAACCCTAAATCCTCAAACCCCAGACCCTAAATCCTCAAACCCTAAACCCTAAACCCCTAACTATCCCTAAACCCTAAACGCTAAACCCCAAACCCCAAAAGCTGAGGAACCACGCGACCCAGCTCCCCGATTGCACCGAGCCCAAGAGGGTGCCGCACCGAGCCAGGACAGGGTCGGATGCGGCGTGTGGGTTTAGGGTTTAGGGTTTAGGGTTTAGGGTTTAGGGTTTAGGGTTTAGGGTTTAGAGTTTTTAGGGTTTAGGATTTAGGGTTTAGGGTATAGGGTCAAGAAGGCGGTTAAGGAGGTTTAGGGTTTAGGGTTTCGGGTTTGGGGTCTCAGGGCGGTCGCCTTAGGTGGAGAGCAGGCAACCTTCTTTCAAACCAAGCCTTCTAGCCTTGCTGGGGGAGAGTGAACACTCGGTGAACTCATCCCCTAGAAAGCTGTAGCGTTCCCTAGCCCTGGCGGCGAGGTGAGTATATCGGTTTTAGATTTTTGGTCATAAGGACTGTGCTTAAATCAACCCCCAACGATTTAGGGGTTTGGAGTTTTGGGGGTTTAGGGTTCAGGGATTTCGGGGTTTAGGGTTCCAGGGGTTTAGGGAGATTGACAACAAAAACCACCGTGCCTGGACACGTTCCCAAACCTTTCTGAAACCCTAAGCCCTAAGTCCTTACCTCCCCCCCCCCCCGGAGAGCATAAACCCTCAACCTTGAACACTCATGACACTCATGCCTCAACCATAAACCTGGCAGTCTATAGACCCGAGGAAGCTAGGGCCCTGAGTAGGCCCCTGTTCCAATTTTCGAGTTTAGGTTCCCTTCCAAGCTCTAAGCCAAGAACGGTTCCTCCTGGGTCTAGAGACCTTATCTAAGTGTAGTTCCATGGTCCCTTAGTAGGGGCACTTAAAAGGGTACCCCTTATATTATGCCCCTTGTATACCCTATACAAATTAAGCGGCCATCTATCAGAACCGTTTAAAGAAGGTCAGGCACCATCTTAAGGGCCCAGGAAAAAATCTCTAGGGTTTAGGGTTTAGGGTTTAGGGTTTAGGGTTTAGGGTTTAGGGTTTAGGGTTTAGGGTTAGGGTCTTCGTTCATTGGCCTCCCGAGGACCCCTATGGCATGGCTGGGACACCTGATGTTTTGTCGGAGGAGGAGGAAGAAGAAGAAGAAGATCCTTGGTGCGAGTAACGCCCTCCGCCTAATACTAACCCCCCTCCCACCCCCGAATATTAAATTCCCCCCCCCCCCCCCGTTTAGTTATAGTGTAGTATGGGGGGTATTGAATATTAGGGGGAGGGGATTGCTACCAAGACTGTTCCATTTCCATCCCTACAGACATAAGCCCTAAGCCCTCAACCCCACGCCCTGTTACGACATGGTGAGCCTGTGTAGGGTCCCACACTTCCTGACATGGGTTGAGGTTTCTAGGATTGAGGTTTCTAGGGTTTAGGGTTTAGGGTTTAGGTTTAGGGTTTAGGGTTTAGGTTAGGGTTCATGCCTGTAGAGCTCACCTGGCAAGGATGACGAAGAACTGCAATGTGCGGGAGGGCAGCCTGCGCCGAGGAGCCGCACTGCGCCGAGGAGCGGCATGGGTGCTTTGGTGGGTTCAGGGTTTAGGGTTTGGTTTAGGGTTAGCCCTAGACCGTAAACCCGAAACCCTAAACCCTGACCCTGTAAACTCGTAGACCTTCGTGCACCCAAACCTTTTCCAGAAAGTGGGGGTTTGAGGGACTTCGGGTTGGCGGAACGTGGCGTGCGGTGCGGAGACCAAGCGGGAATCAAAAGGCACTTCCGAGAGAATATGTGTATGTTTTAGGGTGGATGCATGCTTATATGTGTGTGTGTGTATGTTTGTATGTACATATGTATATATGTGTGTGTATACAGACAGACGATAGATACACGTGTAGGTTCGTATTCCCAAAAACGTTTGCAAAACATGTAATCGCCATAAACAAACAAAACCCTAAACCCTAAACCCCCTAAACCCTAAACCCTGAACCCTAAACCCTAAACCCTAAACCCTAAACCCTTCACAGGGCGAGTCATATTCCAGGTGTGGCCATGGTCCTCTGTACCATGAGCTGTTCGTTTATTGAGAGGTAGAGTTTTTTAGGGTTGAGGGTTGAGGGTTGAGGGTTTAGGGTTTAGGGTTGAGGGTTGAGGATTGCACGGCATCGGTGAGCTGGCTACTGTAGACGGCCAGCAGCTAAAGCATCGCCCATTCTCGCACCCCCGCCCCCCCCCCCCCCCCCCCCCCCCCCCCCCCCCCCCCCCCCCCCCCCCCCCCCCCAAACCCTAAACCCTAAACCCTAAACCCTAAACCCTAGACCCTAGACCCTAGACCCTAGACCCTAAACCCTAAACCCTAAACCCTATACAGGCAATAATGTAGAAGGCCGCAGAAGGGCAAGAAGCCAAGAATCCACGGACTGCTCCGCGCAGGAATCCCCGCAGAGGATACCAGTGGCGTCCTCACACCCAGGTGGGCACCCCAAACCCTAAACCCTAAACCCTAAAGCCTAAACCCTAAAGCCTAAAGCCTAAAGCCCTAAACCCCCTATTCTAGTTACATTGTAGTATATTGGAGGTGTTTAATATCAGGGGGTAGGGGAGGGAACTGTGGTGCGCAAGGCTTTGGGGCTTCAGGGTTTCGGGGTCTCGGGTTTCAGGGTAGTTTAGGGTTTCAGGGTAGTTTAGGGTTTCAGGGTTTAGGGTTTCAGGGTTTAGGGTTTCGGGTTTCAGTGTTTTGGGTTTCAGGGTTTCGGGTTTAGCGTTTTAGGGTTTTTGGGTTACTGCTCCAGCTTAAATTCCGGGTCCTGAAGCCCGAATGCTATTCCTCCTGTTCGACTCGTAGCTCGGTACCTTTTTGCGACACTTCACCCTGCCGAACCAGCGCCTCAGTATTTCCTACAGTCCACGACTTTGACCCTGAATTCAGCGCTAACCTCCCCTGACACTGTCTAATTTCAAAATTCTGAACTCGATTAGCCCTAAACCCTGTTCAACCCTCTTGAGACTCCTTGAAGCCCTAAACCCTAAACCCCAAACCCTAAACCCTAAACCCTAAACCCCGAACCCATGTCTTCCGGGTCGGTGCAGGTGGCCGCGGAGAAGAGCAAAAGCGAGCCCCGGCTGGAGGAGGGCGAGGCAACTCGGTTGGATGTAGGGTTTAGGGTTTAGGGTTAGGGTCTAGGGTTTAGGGTTTAGGGTTTAGGGTTTAGGGTTTAGGGTTTAGGGTTTAGGGTTTAGGGTTTAGGGTTTAGGGTTTAGGGTTTAGGGTTTAGGGTTTAGGGTTTAGGGTTTAGGGTACTGATAACCCCAAATAGAAGGCTACTTCTGACCTACTTAGAGGACTTTGGGGACTTTGGGGGCTTACAAGTACGTTTCTACTTGGGGTTATAAGTACCATGAACCTCCAAGTAGGGTTTAGGTTTGAACGGTTTAGTGTTTAGGGTTTTGGGCTTCTGGTCCAAGATTCGGGTTGAATTCAGGGGCTATGCTCGACTGTTCAAGGCCTTTGCTTCAAGGAGGGTTGAGGAGAGATACGAGGACGTTCGGGTGTCAGGGTTTGGGGTTTCAGGGTTCAGGGTTCCGGAATCCAGGGTTTAGGGTTCCAGGTTCAGGGTTTCAGGGTTTCAGGGTTTCAGGGTTTCAGGGTTTCAGGGGGTTTCAGGACTTTCTGCCCCAATCTTTATCCCCGAAACCCGAAAGAACCCTAAGCCCGGTGTTGAGGTGGGCCCAAAGGGCACACGACTACGGCCACAAGCTGCTCTGCCACAACTACATACTCGCGAAGACCCTTGGCTGCACGACCTCCATTGAGCCCCATAGTTGAGAGACCGAACCTTTTTTTCGTTAAACAACAAGGCCGCCGAGCCTGCAAACCCAAAAGCCCCTGAACGTTAAAACTACGAGCATGGAGGGATGAAGGGTTTGGGTGTAAGGGTTTAGGGTTTTAAAGGTTGGGGGCTTTGAGAAGATCATGCATCCCTATACAAACCCGAGATCCCGGATTACACGCCGATCGAACCCTAAACACCAAAAGCTGAAGCCTGAAATCGAAACCTGAAATCGAAACCGTAACCCCAAACCCTGCACCCTAAACCCCTAAATCCCTAAATCCCTAGTCTCCTAGATCCCTAGATCCCTAAACCCTTAGACCCTAGACCCCTAAACCCCTAAACCCCTCAACCCCTAAACCCCTGAACCCCTGAACCCCTCAACCCCTGAACCCCTGAACCCCTGAACCCCTGAACCCTCAACCCCTCAACCCCTCAACCCCTCAACCCCTCAACCCCTACCCCTAAACCCCTAAACCCCTAAACCCCTAAACCCCTAAACCCCTAAACCCCTAAACCTAAAACCCTAAACCGTTAGACTCTGAACCCCTAAACCCTAAACCCCTCAACCCCTAAACCCCTAAACCCCTCAACCCCTCAACCCCTAAACCCCTAAACCCCTAAACCCCTAAACCCCTAAACCCCTAAACCCTAAACCCTAAACCCTGAACCCTAAACCCTAATCCCTAAAGAGTTTTAGGGTTTGGGTTTAGCGCTACGAGCTTCCTGTGAGTGTCGGGGCTGCAGGGATTTGATTTTAAGGGCTTTAGATACCCTAACCCTAAACAGTAAACCCTAAAAACCCTAAACCCCAAACCCCAAACCCCAAACCCCAAACCCCAAACCCTAAACCCTAAACCCTAAACCCTAAACCCCAAACCAGGCGGTCCGTAGAGTTCCCTCTTGCAGGCCAAGAGGCCGCGCTGCTCGATTGCACTCTCGGACACATGCTCGGCGTCCCCTCTCCTGCCCTAGGCCGTGGGTAGGGTTCAAGGATTAGGGTTTAGGGTTTAGGGTTTGGAGTTTAGGCTTTCGGGTTTAGGGTTTCGGGTTCAGGGCCCTTAGGGTTTGGGGTTCAGGGTTTAGGATTTAGGGTTAGGTTTAGGGTTTAGAGTTTGGGATCCTCAACGTTTCAGGGCTGGTTCCTTGTTCACCGTTTTGGTTCGGTTCCCTGGTCCATCCCTGTTCAGCAAAAGGAAGGGTACCCGAAACCACCCTAAACCCCAAACTCCTTTCAGCAGGTTGCAAAGAGCCCGAGGCCGCCTAGGAAGCATCTTTTCATAAGGGCCTTCGCCAGGATTTCCAAGACCACCCTCACCCCTTAACCCTAAACCCTAAACACTAAACACTCACGGCTCTCAGTCATGGTCTATATTGGGGGTATGAAAAGGGGTACGCCTATCACAGGACACTAGCCCTAAACCCTAAACCCTGCACCCTGAACCCTAAACCCTCAATCCTACACCCTAAACCCTAAACCCTGAACCCTGAACCCTGAACCCTGAACCCTGAACCCTGAACCCTGAACCCTGAACCCGAAGCCTCAAGCCCTAAAGGGGTTAAGCCCTCAGCTGGTCTCTGAGGCATCGAGGACCTGCCATGAAGCCCTCCTTCGCTTGCACGTGGTGGGAATGATGGTGGCCCCTGGGTCCTTCCAGGGGTTGTGTTGCGCCAGGTTGAGGGTTCAGGGCAGTTTAGGGTTGAGGATTTAGGGCTTGGGGTTTTAGGACCTAGGGTTTGGTATACCCTGTGTTGCAGGAGAGGCTTTGCAAACCCCTGAACCCCTGAAGCCCTCTGCCTTACGTATATGCAGGAACCTCAGTCTTTCCTGTGCCCTTGCTGAGAAACTTTGATCAAGTTATCAGAGTACGTAGGGATATATATATATATACATATATATATATATACATCATATAAATATATGTAGTAGATAACATAGTGCCCTTGTGGCGGCAGCTCAATGTAGGTTCCTTTACAACTTTACAAGGGCCCAGTTGCGGCAGATATTCTGTTGCGAACTCAAGTGCCCATATCCCTCCATGCCACAGTCTAGTTGCTTGGGGTTCCTAAACCCTAAACCCTAAACCCTAAACCCTAAACCCTAAACCCTAAACCCTAAACCCCAGCTGTTCGGGGCTCTGCCAGGCGGGCCAATCCCAAAGCCCCGAAACCGAAAAAACAAAAGTGTTTAGGCTTTGGGGTTTAGGGATTAGGGTTCTGCATCCTTTCCAACACCTGAGGTGCTGAGTAGATGGGTGTTACTAGAGCACTTAAGACCCAGAAGCTAACCTTATTTCTTGCCAGGAAAATTCGACACAAGAGAAGCTCTCAACCTTTCGACATGGTCTTGGGTCTAATTCCAGGTTTGGCGGTTACGATGGAAACCTTACGGCTGTATGTGCACATCCCAAACAGGGTAGCCCCTTATACACTTACCCCGACAAGCGATCATCCCTTTTTTTGAAAGCGCCAAAACAGCCCTAAACCCTAAACCCTAAACCCTAAGCCCTTGCTGCCGCAAACTTCCCATGTTCGGCATGTTCGTTTTGGTGGGCCCTCCATAGCACTCTGAGGCTTCGTCGGCAACATCCACGTATTCGCTCATCGCGTGGATGCGCCGAAAATTTCGCGAGCAGTGGGGAGTAGTAGCCCTAAAGCCTAAATCCTAGGCCAAGTCAAAAACCCTTAGCTTCCCCAAGAACTCGCCCAGAAGCCGCGAGGCACGGTTTAGGGTTTAGGGTGTAGGGTTTAGCGTTTAGGGTTTAGGGTTTAGGGTTCAGGGTTTAGGATTTAGTTGTAGGGTTTGGGGGTGTACAGGCTTTGGGTTTAAAGGGCTTCCGGGCTATAGGGTGATGGGATGTTCTGGCGGAACTTTCCATCGCAGACCCACGCATCCTCGACCCCAGGCCCTGAGACCCCCAAATTTCTTCTAAGCCTCCTACATGATGCTTTAGACCCGTGAAACCCTAAGCCCGAAGCGAGAGTGAGCCACGAAGCCCGCCCATCTGGTCTGCGGGCCGACAAAGGGCGTCCCTGAACGCCAAACCCGACACTGGCCGAAGCACTCCTGCACATGCGCATACAGGCTGCAAAACGGGCATTTCCCGACATAGGCGGCACCCCAAACACAAGAGTAGAGCTCCAAAGGGGAGGATTCCAATAGCACCCTAAACCCTAAGCCCTAAACCCTAAACTCCACCTGAACTTTACAGCTCAGTGTTTCGCCTCTAGGACTTTTTGGCTTCGGCTTTAGGACTTTTGGTTTAACTCCGCCACGCAATCTACACACCCTTCAACAACTTTTGGGGGGGTTGTTAATAAGGTGCAGGCTTACGCTAGGTGCTCTAAATACTAAACCGCAAACCCTAAACCCTAAGCCACAACCCTGAACCCTAAACCTTTATAGTACTCCTATAGACGCCTTCTATAAGGTACCGTGCCGGGGAACTCCATAGCTTTCTTTCATCTAGAAAAGTTGGGAGTAAGGCTTTAGGCTTTTAGGGGTTTCGGGTTTACAGTAAGTGAGGGCTTTTTCTATGGGTACAATAATCCCTATTAAGGACTGTTAGTATAGGGGCGAACATCCCAACCTGTATCCGTATATCCCTAACGCCGAAATGCAAAACCCTGAGTGCGTTCGGGTTTAGGGTATGGGGATCCGAGACCTCTAGCCCACAAGATCGGATGCAGGGTTCAGAGTGCCAGGTTTGGTTTAGTGTGTAGGGTAGAGGGTTTAAGGTTTAGGGTTTCGGGTTTAAGGTTTAGGGTTTAGGGCTCTTAGGCCTTGCACGGCTTTCCGAAGCCCAAGCCCCGAATACCTGAAGCTCAAACTCTCCGCTAAGATACCCACTACTTCTCCGAAAGCGCGATCTTGGATCAGGGGCAGGACCACTTTAAGGGAGAATGCCTCAGTAGCCCCGAGATAGCCGAACCCTAAACCCCTCAACCCCCTAAACCCCTAATCCCAAAACTTGAAGCCCCAAGTCCTAAACCCCCAAACCCCTAGACCCGAAACCCCTAAACCCCTTAAACCATAAGCCCCTAAACCCTACACCTAAACCATATACCCTACGTACCCCTACACCCTAAGCGGGCTTTGTCGGGTCTTCTCCGACTCTCTGAGGGCTTCCTAGCCTCAAGGCCCACCCACCCCCCCTCCCAGCCTCCCCCCAGCCTCCCTTTCGCAGGGCCGTCGGGTTGAGGATTTGGGTTTAGGTTTCGGGTTTGGGTTTAGGGTCACTCCCTCCCCCCGCCCCCCCACCCAGATCCCAAAGAAGAAGCTCCCAAGAGCTCAAGCTCCCTAAACCTAGGCCCTCAACCCTGAACCCTCCCCCAACACCCCAACATCCCTATCTTGACCTAAAACCCTAAACCCTAAACCCAAAACCCAAAACCCTAAACCCTAAACCCTAAAACCCTAAACCCTAGACCCTAAACCCTTGACCCTAAACCCGAAGCCCTCAACTCTAAACTTTGGACTTTGAGCCCCATAAGCCCCCAAACCCTGAAGAATCTGTGGCCGGAGGACCCAGAAAACAGAAACTGGCGAAAGAGTCTGGGAGCCTGGGTTTTGGGTTAGGGTTTAGGGTTTATGTTTTCGGGTTAGGGTTCAGGGTTTTGGGTATAGGGTTCAGGGATTTCTTGTTGGGCTTGCAGGGGAACCCAGGCAAGAAAAAAGTTGGTGGTTTAGGGTTTGGGGTGTATGGAAGTCTTTTGGGGAAGGGCTCATTGATTCAGGGCCGGTAAGCTTGATTGACGCTTTGGGGCTTACTCTTCTCGATTTGGGGTGCTTGGCACTCAGAGTTCAGGAGGGTTCTTTGCCTTCGGCTTCACCAGTCAGTCATGTATGCTTCAGCAACAAGACTCGCTTGCGGGTTTTTCGTGTGGGCCTGATTCCTCCTTCAACCCTAAACCCTTTAAGTCACTAAAGCCTCACAAAAGGCGTCTCCGAAAACTTCCAGAGACTCTTCAGAGACGCGCTCGCGTGCTTCGCACGCGTGGAGCCCGGAATGGGGGTCGGAAGTTTATGTGTCAAGGAAGTGTTTATTTTAGGCTTTCGAGGTTTAGGGCCCAAATTCTGTGCCCTTTGAGCTCTCCTACAGAAAAGGAGGATTCTGCAAGCAGAGGCCCTCAAAAGGGCATCAACGACCCCCCCAAAACCCAAGACCGGCATAGGCTTTGCTGCGCTCTGGACTCTGAGGTTTAGTCTCATGGTCCCTCATGTTGGTTCCTGCTTAAAGGGATCCGAAGTATGGGGCCCTTATCCCCAAAACCCGGAACCCTAAACCCTAAATCCTAAACCCTAAACCCTAAACCCCTCAACCCTTATTATGTACGGTGTATATAAGGGTCATAAAACACCGCCCCATACTTGGAACTCGAGAGTCAAGACTCGTACCCCCGAGGTTGTGCCCCTACAACCCTAAACCCTAACCCTAAACCCTAACCCTAAACCCTAAACCCTAAACCCTAAACCCTAAACCCTAAACCTCAAACCCTAACCCCTAAAACCCTCAGAGATTTTCGGTGAGGCTGCAACGATGGCATCCTCCCCGAGAACATCATTGTCTACAGGACGTCGGCGAGGGCCTTAGGGACTCCTAGGGCTCCTTGAAGTCTGGAAAGGGTGTGGGGTTTAGGGTTTAGGGTTTAGGGTTTAGGGTTTCGGGTTTAGGGTTTAGGGTTTAGGGTTTGGGGCTTAGGTTTCAGGGTTTAGGGTTTAGGGTTTGGACCCTAAACCCTAAACCTGAACCTCTCCAACGGGAGCTTCCCAATGCTTCCGGGCCGAAGCAGCCCGGCGCACCTGCCCTGAAAGTGGTACCCTCACCCACGCTGAGCCCCTAAACCCGCAAACCTCTAAACTCCTTTAAGGTTTCGGGTTTTTGGTTAAGGGTAGCCCTAAACCCTAAACCCTATACCTTCAACCCGAAGCATTACGTCCTCAGCCCATGTTCTCGATCCTGAGAAGCATGGGCCCCCCGACGGCTGTTGAAGCTGAATGCCGAGACACCCAAATCCGACAGCTTTTCGGGTGCGGGATTTGGGGTTTGGGTTTTGGGTTTGGGGTTTGGGGTTTAGGGTTTGGGTTTAGGGTTTAGGGTTTAGGGTCTGGGGTTACTCTAGGGTTCTGGGGTTCTAGGTTTAGAGTTTGGAGTTGAAAGAGGTTAGCGCTTGGGCTTTGGGGTTTATTCGGGTCGGGGCATGGAGTTTAAAGGTTCAGGGTTTGGGGTTTAGGGTTGGGAGGTTAAGAAGTTAGGGTTTCGGATTTAGGGTTTAGGGTTTAGGGTTTAGGGTTAGGGTTAGGGTTTAGGATTTAGGGTTTGGGATATGGAAGCTTGGCTCATGTCTCCGGCTCGGGGCTTCAGCTGGGGGTTTCGGGTTTGCTTGAGGGATTGGGGCGCCCATTCCAAGAATCAAGCCCAAGCCCCCTCCCAGCCGAACAAGGCCCTGAGACACCCAAGCATACGGCTTAGGATGGTCACGAAACCCTAAAACCCCAAGCCCTAAACCCTGAACCCCAAACCCTAAACCCTAAACCCCAAACCCTAAACCCTAAACCCCAAGCCCTAAACCCCAAACCCAAAGACCCTAAACCCGAAGCCC